CAGTGACAAGTCTTCTCACTCGTTGATGGCGAAGTATTTTTAAAACATCCAGCTCACATCACGCCGACTAGCCGCCATGATTCGAAAACAGATTAAATTGGTGCGCGCATTTGTTTATGGGATGCGGCATTAAAATTCCTTTCCCCAGGCCCCCGCAATGATGTCACAGATCACCTGGGTATGGCATCCTTTGCAGAGTTATGTACAGTGCCCATTGGCTTTCAGAGAAATTTAGTTCCACAATGAATCGAGAATACATCGGCAATGCAAATTCATTCAGTTGTTTTGACTATAAGCAATAAATGTAACTGAACAATGAAGTAAATCTGTCATGTTCATCTACGAACAATGCTCAACAAGTGAAGCGCTACACAGTGAGCATGCATCATTTTCACGAAGAGACTACACTGTGATAAAAATAGCAAGGATATATACAATAAAGGAAAAGTTCTGCCTCTTTAGTTCTACAAAGTTTAGCCATGCCACTCAGCAAAGCAAGACCTTTCACCCCGCATTTGGCGACACAAAGGAACACCACATTGTTCACATGTGTAGGATGTTTCGAAGGTGCGGCCTTGGCCTTCCTTGCGCTTTCTCCCAGCCTTCGCACACATGGCACAAGCTCTTTTCCGGCCTTCTAATTTTCCCAGAAAGTGTCCTCGCAAATTTTCCTCTGTTGTAAAGGTGGAGACAGCACGCTTTCCAGAGTTTGACGGTCGTTTGTATCCATTGTATCCGGCGATAAGAAGCTTGGCGAGTTCGCGACGAAAGTCTAACTGGCGTCGCTTCTTTTTGCCAGCTAGTTTTTCAAGGATAAAACCGTTCACCATGGACAAATTAAGAAAGAACCAGAACAGGTATTTCCACCACTTTCGAGAAGTTGTTCCAGGTGGATAATAACTTCTGTATTGGTCATTGACATCGACCCCATTCATCCCAGAGTTGTACACAACGACGACATCAGGTTTTTTCGTCGATTCAGCGGGCACAACTCGCTTTCTCCGTCCCCGAACAACCTGCTGCACTGCGTGTATTTCGGGCTCAGGAGGCGTATTTGTCGACAGTAAGGAGACAACACGTTTATCTCTCCACATTGTTGCGACCAAATTTCCACTTTGACGGGTTCTTACTTCGCCTGCAACGAGTTTCATCTGCTTGAGGTCTGCAGGGAAGTCTTTCCTGTTTTGGTGCACGGTACCACAAGCATAAGTGTTTCGCGATTGCAAGTCTCGCATCAAATCCGTGGAAGTAAAGAAATTATCAAAGAAAAAATGTCTGTTGTTGTCTAAATAGGGCTCACCAAGAGTCCAAACAACATAATAGCCTAAACCTTTTTGTCTAAACAAGTCATTGTTTGTACGGTTCTTGCCCAAGTAGACTTGGAAGCGAGGAACATAATACGTGTCGGCATCTGCGAGTAGCCAAACTTTGATTCCGAATTTATCTGGCTTCATGGGCGTGTACTGCTTGAAAGACAGCCTACCGTTGAACTTCACAAGCCCCTTGTCCACGGTGATGTTTTTGCCAGGTGTGTAGGCTTCAGAAGACTTCTGTTCTAACAGAGTAACTAGCGGGCGATCTTTGCAAAGCAGATCTGCTCGGTCCTCGGTGTTTGGGTCGGCAAGATGGAAGTACTTTCCCAGAGTTGTAAAACGCTGCTTGGGGATTGTTTTTTTAAAGCCCTCGACTCCAATAAATTCATCACTATCCCAGTACATTGCCAGCTGTGGAAGTTCGTGGATTCCAATCAAAATATTGAGGCCAAGATATGCCGAAATTTCCGCTCGATTGGTTACGAACGTTGCATCGCCCTTTGAACGGGCATAGGCAATGCTGTGCCGGACGATTTCATCAAGGAATTCATCGTTGATGAAAAGGTTGAAGAAATCTTTGGCCGTCGCATTGTCCCCAAGATTTCTAGATGGGCCGTGGCGAACAGAAAACTCTTCTACATTGATTTCACTCAATGTATTTGACCACCGAAGTGGATTTGGCGGTGCGTCCTCGGAATCTGCGTTACTAACAGTTTCTTCATCACTGCTTTCGCCGCTTTCCTCATCGCCATCATCAGCGAAAACCTCAACATCGGAATTACTTGCGCTTTCCTGAGGTTGTTGGTTGATGAGAGCGTCAATCTCTTCATCCACATCGCGAAGTGATCCTTGCTCTCGCCGTCTTTGGCGATCCTGCCTCATTTGGCCGATTTCTTCGACTGTAAAACTGGCGAAGAAATCTTGTTCTTCATCAGATGAACCTGGAAATTCATCAGATCCACCAGAAGCCATGTTCAGAACTAAAGTGTTGTTTTCAAAAATTCGTGAAAAATCGTAAATAGAACGTATCCTCGCGAGTTTGGTCTCAAATAAAAGCTAATTTATTCATGTCACGTTTCACTGCATTTCAATTCTCAGGGGAGTATAGTTTCTTAGCTACAGCCAATCAAAGTGTGCCATGTCTGACACGGCGCATGAGGGCACATTGGAATTTCGGAGGGATTATATTTCCGGGCGCATGAGGGCGCAACAGATGTCAATGGGTTAAAATAATTTTATTCACTAATATTTTCTGTTATAATAACCTGTTTCCTTTATGCTCCACTGTTTTGCTTGCCAATTCATATGTACACAAGACTGATCAACTAAATGGACAAGTTTTTAATTTACAGTATTTTTAAAGTTATAGCTTCCAAATTTTAAACTACTTTAGACTCACTTGAAGTGCTTGAAGTCTCCCAGCTTCTGTGACTACCTTTTTGCTTCCAAATACCAATTTTAGACTGAACTGCCTGAATTAGCATTTTGCTACCTGCACCCCAGTCATGAAGTTAAGCAAAACAATTGACTCTATTGTACCTTTTGAAGTTGATCATCCAAGGTTTGTTTATTTCCATCCTAGTGGAGAACCATACACGCATAAAACTTGGGATAATTTAACATGAAATATAATCAACTGTTATGAAATTAATTTCTTGGTATCATGTCTATTTTGCTGCAAATTTTATAAAGTTTGATACAAATGACTTTTTTTATTGTTGCAACAAAAATCTTTGAAAGGGTATGCTTCCTTTTTCATCAATTTCATTTAATTTTCTGGTAAGGTGATCCTGAAAATCCTTGCAGCAATTCAAGGTAGTGCAAACCTGCATGTCAATTACAATTAACCAATGTCTAATTAACTAACCTGTTCAGTAGTTCGTAACGCCAGTGGCTTGTAGTCAGGATGTAAGGTAAACCTTGTTTCTTCATCCACTCTGGCACAGCATTTATAGCACCACCTTGTACCTGGTTTGTATCCAGCAAATGTTGCCCCTATGGCAGCTAGGACAGAAAAAAGTCCCGCAGGAAGTCACTGTTTCCTGAGGCTTCATGAATGGTTTTCGTGAGGAACCAAGCACCTGTTGTTGCTCCTCCGTATTTCAACCCAATGGACATGACAAACTGTTGAGCCCACTTGGAGTTCAGCAGCACTGGCTAATTCTTTGGATAGAAAATATTTTCAGGCAGCACATTTACAACTCCTTTTGTTTGTTTTCCCACATTTTTCTGCGAAGGAACTGCACAACCAAACCAACGCCACAGGGAGAACTATCTGAAAAAAATCATCTTGTTAAGCACGAATGCTTCCAAAATTCGCTCATATCTTGTTGTTGGTGCAAACACCGAACCCCTTGGTGCAAGCGCTTGATAATTAAATAAAAAACAAACTTTTCATCAGGACAAACCTTTCCCCTACTTTTGTATGCTAACTCGTACTTTTTGTTTTCAAAGTTTGTGGTACAGGATTTTATCTTCTTTACACTGAATTTAAATATATATCTGGAAATGTGTAATTGACCAGAAGTCCAAATTTGCACTCATGTGCAGTGCATTTTGCTGCGGTGTTGTTTTTATCTATTTTTCTCAAATATGTCAATATATAAATTATACTGATATTAATTACTAAATTTTAAAATAAGGGACACTATCAAATTTACATTTTTCAAGTTTAAAAAAATCGTAAATAAGTTTGCTTTTACTCTGGGCTTCCATCTATGGAAGTACTAATGGTTGTTTTCGAGCACATCTCTTCACATGTTACACGGCAAACACGGGAGCTCAACAGATTTCAAGAGTTCATTATTGTATTTATGAAACTAAGACTAAATGCACCATTGCAGGATCTTCCATACCAGTTTGTTGTTTCAGTGTCGACAATCTCCAGAATATTTTCCCACTGGATTGTTGTGATGGACACAAGGTTTTTTCGCGTTGTGTACTGGCCAGAGAGGGACCAACTATGGAGAAAAATGCCCCAGTGCTTCCAGTTTGCATTCGGAAAGAAAACAACTGTTGTGATTGACTGCTTTGCAGTATTTATTGAGAGGCCTTCAAACTTGCTACCCAGGGCACAGACCTTTTCAAGTTACAAACATCACAATACAATCAAAATTCTGGTCAGGATAACACCACAAGGAACTATTTCATGTGTGTCTGAAGCGTGGGGAGGTAGTGTCTCAGATAAATTCATAACTGATAACTGTGGCCTCCTGGACAAACTGATTCCAGGAGACATGGTGATGGCAGACCAGGGATTCACCATCACTGGGAGTGTTGGACTGAAAAATGCTAAACTGGTAAATTTCAGCTTGACCCAGTGGACGTGGAGCAGATGAGAGGCATTAGAATTCATGTTGAACGTGTCACTGGACTGCTTAGACGGAAGTTCACAATACTGGAAGGTACCTTGCCAACTGACTTCCTGATATGTAATCATAAACACTCTGACAGGCATACTGCATTGGTGGATCATATGATAAGAGTTTTTGCAGCTCTTGTTAATTTTTGTCCTCCAATTGTGCCATTTGATTAAATCAACTTCACGTTTAGATACCTGAAGTCTTCTATTAAGGTAGTTGCACCGGGTAAATTTCTTGTTTTCAAACGAGATCATTTTCAGCCTAGTTGTAGCCCAT